GAGGAAGGAGGCGGGGGAGGAGGGAGGGGCAGGAGAGCATCCTGCGGCGAGATCACAGTGAGGGAGTGGACGCCTTGCCGTGGCAGCCCCGTGGCGTGGACTTATGAAGAGACTGGGTGCCGCCTTGGCTGGCTGGACATGTCCAGGGGGAAAAAAACCTGGATATTTTACTCTAAAGTGGTTTCTTGAAAGAAAACTGAGCAGACTCAGGCTATGATCTGAGAAACCATCTTTTATACCAGAGCAAGCTTCTCTTTACAAGAGGAGCCAGCAGGCATATTCAGTGGAGGCACTGCTGCTAAAACGTTAAAGTATTGCGGGACCAAGAAACAGGCTGATGGAGTCTTTGGCCACTGTTAAGAGCCAGGATTAAGAGATCAGTGATTGTTCTTGTGGTCCAAGAAGTAATTTTCTAGCAAAACACACACACTTTATCAAAGGAAAACAGATCCTTTACTTGCTAAAGTTTCACAGCCAGCGGCACCTCCAGTCCACGGCCGGATTCTCAGAGGAAGTACGGATATTTCGCATAGGCAGAAACGGGGAGCAGCACAAAGCGGAGCTGTAAATACCACCGATCGTTCTATGACGTGCACCGATCCCTTCTGCCCAATCCCTGAAATACTGAGACGGCTTAACCATTCAAACGCAGCATCACGGTGAGCCCAAGGGGACTGTGAACATCAGGCTGCAGGAAGCGGGCTGTCAGCTGGGGAAACACCTTGGCTTTAGACCCCAATCAGTCATCTTTACTCAAGAGTAGAGCTGAATGTTGCTTACCGCCATCAAGTCATAGAGAAAGAGAACAAATTTTTGCAGAACAGGATGAAGAGCTTAAATAATTTTGTAAAAACCTGAACTACCACCTATTTTCCCAATCTTGGGCTGGGGTTTTGATTTCTCTTGATCAGCGGCCTGCCTTTAAACCTTCTGCCAGTTAAAATATAGGACGTGGGCAGACGACCCGTTTGTTAGGAAGCCTGCGGCCTGCCTTTATTTCTAATCCACCTTATCTCATCTGTACCTTCCGGTTCCAGAAGGGTCAGGACTGTAAAACTGCAGCCTCTCTGCCATTCTGCGAGCCTAGAGGTGCCGCGTGGGATTTGAAGCCCAGCCCTCTGGCTCATGCCCTCCTGTGACCGCTGGGGCCTGGGGACCTCAGAGCAGGAGGGCTGAGCAGGGGCCGGTGCCAGCCCACATGCACACCCTCATCTTCATTCACTCGCTTCCCCGCTTCCAGCACATGAAGTGAGGACACCTCCGTGGAGACCCTTTCATGGGGGGGTGATGTGTGTGTGTTTCCTCAAACCTTTGGTTCTTGTCAAGAGGTCTATGGCCTAGTCGAGAACATCTGCTTGCAGGACAAACAGCAAACACGCCCCTCGGAGGGAAGTACCAAAGGGAGTTTTGGCCACAGTGTGAGACACATTTCTTCATCACTGGGATGGTGTTCACGTCAGGAAAACAAAGTCTGAAAAATACTCCCGTCCTCCCTGCCACTGCCTTCTCCTGTCACACAGCTCCAAGATTACTTAAAAGACAAAAAAAAAAGGCCCTTAGATGAATACTTGAGGCATATTTCCTCGCTCCTGAAGATGGGAAGACACACGAACCCTTCCCTAAAGTATCTGTGGAGAGGTGGGCAGCAGCAGCCTTGGAAGACGCTGAGGAGATGAGGAGGAGGTCTTCCTCCTCACTCAGCCAGGACCGAGCCCCTGTGGAGGTGGCACTGGGCAGAGCACAGAGGGCTCATCGAAGCGCATAGAAAGGACACCTGCTTCCTCACTGGTCATTTAGGAAGTGACAATGGTACAGGAGAGGGAAAATAACTGTTTTCTGAGTAAAGACACTTCAGGTTCCCAAACCGGGCATACTGAGCGGCACCCCTAACTCTTGTGGCTTCTGATCGACCCTTCCAAGCCAGAGGTAAGAGAATAACCACCAGCCACCGTCACCATCCAGCACCCAGGAGGCAGGCCAGGAGGTTGGGGGCGGGGGGGGGGGCGCTTGGGCTCCTGACGCACCTGGGCACTGGGAGCTACCCCGCCCGGCCGGGACCCCACGCTCCAGGGAGCTTGCCTGATGCAGTGTTTCAGTCCCCATCTCAGGCTCCGGCAGCCAAAGCCTTAGTAGGAAATGAGTGGTAAGCCCTGCTATGCCCTCCGTCACAGGGAACCTTCTGAGCTTGTCCCACTACTCAGATGACTTGGCTACGAGCTGCAATACTGTTCACCTCAGGCAGTCTATCCGTGTTCCTCTCCAAGCTCTGCAAATTTGGAAGGGAACCTCACTGAGCTTCTGTGAAAGATCTCATCACCCCACACCCCGAGGGTGAACCTGTTTAATCACCCTCATCTTCTTTGCATACTTACTCTTGGAATACAGGGACAGGGTCTGCTTCATTCCTCCCTTTAGAAGTCCTACCTGGCTACAGGAAAAGCTTTGTCGTGATGACGAGTTGCCTTAAGGATTTGCTTCGACATGATCCTTTCTGCCCCCAGCTGCTCCTTAAGGAAAAGTCCTTCCCGTTTCCCCGTATTCTGATCACACAAAATAGACGCAGCTGCGAGAAGAGAGGGCCGCCAGAGACGGTGCTGCTCTGGGCCGTCGGGGGAACCAGATGTTCAGGGAAATCCTACAGGAGGCGGCTTTTCGAGCTTAAAAACACACTTCCGTCCATCCATTAGGTAACACAGAACACAGTTCAGTCAGGAGAACCATTTGCCACCACCAGGGCCTTGACCCTGACACCCGTTGCTCCTGGCCACTTTCAGAATCCGGGACGAAGGTCTGGGGCGACATTCAGGGTCGGAAATCCTGGGGCAGTATCTTAATACTAAATTGGGTTTTGACTTTGCTTTCTAAAATAACCTGATCTCACTTGATTTTTGTCCCCAAGATGCAGCGATGCTCATCTCTCCCTTCTCTGTGAGCCCCCGTGCCCCACTCGACATCTGCTCGTTTCCTAAAGCCCCTTCCCGTGCCCTGAACGGCTGCAGACACACCGCCACCCGCCATGCCCCATCCACCAACATTCTGCTGCTACACACTGGGTCACAACTGCACCTACCTGAAGAGTTCCCAATTTAAAATAATAGAGATTAAGAACAAAGTCTTCCTTTTACCCTCCTCCTCTTACACCCCCTACCCAGCACTCCCACCTGAAGGAGAATTCTAGCTGCCTATCACCAGCCACAGATCCGGCTTCCAGAAAAGAGTGAAAAGTTAGGCTTCCGTGGCAATTTGCTCCCAGCCACGTGCTCTGCGGTGTCACCGTCGGGAGGGGCCGACCTCTCTTGCCGACCAACAGGACTACGAATAAACCGTTTCCTTTGACAGTGCCGCCTCGGAGCTCCTCCGTCACGCGCTGCCTTCCCACTCACCCTGCGGCTCCACCGAGCCGTTGGTCACCTTCTTGACTTTCTTCATATTCTCCATCACCCCTGACGTGGTCACTCTGAATGAGGGAAAAAACGAGGAAAACCTCAGTCTTAAAGTAAAAGGCCGTCTTCACCACAGCAGAGTGGCAGCCGGGGTAAAGGGTGTTGGCTCTGGAATCAGACACACCAGGGTTCAAATCCTGACCCGCTCTTTGCTAGCTGTGTAAGCTTGCCCAAGTCATGTGACCTCCCTGTGCTGCAGGAGAAACACAGTCCCCACTTTCCAGAACTGCCGTGAGGGAAAAATGAGATTCTCCGTCGTGCCTAGTCACTACGTACCACAGCTGTTATCACAACCAGCATTCATCTCTTTCTTTTTGTCACAAATTTTTGTTACGTATATACACTAGTCACAATTATGACACCAGTATCTGTATCATAATTAACATTCTGAAAAAAAAAGCTAATCAGCTGTAGACATTTACACTAACCAGCCACAGTGGATCATTTCTGAGTCCTGGGACAGAACCACAGGTTGGGAGGAACTTTCTGGGCCCAAAGATTCTTTGACCGTTAGAGACAGAGAGTGACTCACGACATCTCCTGAGAAGGTGGGGGTCTATGAGAAGACAGCCTCTTGCCTCACAAAACGTGAGCTAGACAGATTCTAAGGATCTGGGTATCCATGACGCAACTGAGCGGCTCCGTAGCAGGAAACACCAAGCAGATACTGAACTCCACCTGGTAGGCGGAGCACAGGGGATTTTCAGGGCAGCAAAATGACTCTGTATGATTCTATTATATAATGGTGGGCACACGTCTGTCCAAACCCACACAGTGTACAACACCAGGAGTGAGCCCTACTGTAAACTACGGGCTCTGGATGATAATAAGTCGATACAGGCTCATCAATTGTAAGGAACGTACTACTGTGGACAGGGGATGCTGATAATGGAGGAAGCTATGCGTGCATAGGGCGGGGGCATATGCAAAGTATCTGTACCCTCTGTTCAATTTTGTTCAATGTTATGAACCTAAAACTGTTCTACAAAATAAAGTGTTAGAGACAAACAGCCCCGGCCCAGCATCTCCCTAAGGACTCTAGGAAGCAAGGAGGCACCTATGTTCCTCCATCGCGGACCAACAGGAATTTCCTAATCAGTAAAATAAATTCAATCAATCATTCCAACAGACTGTCTCCAAGGACCCTACCTATCCACCCCCCCAACTCCCAAATCCTGTTACTAACAAATAGCGACTCAGTGGCCCTACATGTGACATCTAGAGTTTGTCCAACTGGACCTAACAGTAGATAAATTATTTTATTTGAGTAAGGAAAGGAAATTTTTTCTCCCTTCTTTCCTGCCACCATGTGCTGCTGCTGTGACCAAGCCCCAAAGCCATCCAGTCCTCCCCAGAGTTGGGCCTTTTCTCAAACAAGAGTCCTCTGGACTCATGCGTTATCTGTACTTCTGGTAAAGTCAGGACAAAGTATGCTGCAGGTAGGTGGGTCTTGTGGGAACTGAGGGATCCCTGCAGAGGCTGTGGGTGAGTATAAATGCAGCCCCCAGACGAAGGGAACACCAACTGAGAGAACCTAGCATCACTTCCTGCCAGCCGGTGCCCGTCTCGGGCCTGACCTCACCGGGAAGCGCTCACACTTCTCCCAGGAGAAATCCATGCACCCAGGGCAGCTTCTAAAGGGACCTTCTCCAGACTAGGACACGGGCACAAGCCTTTCCAGCCGCAGCAGAGCAACCGCTGTGCACCTCCAAACCTGCTGACGTGAGGGAGGAAGTGCAACCCCGAGTCTTCCAGAAACACTCCTGGCAATAGCCAGCGGACCTGTGGCTCCTGCCCCAGGTTATAAAGGACGAGGAGGGGGCCAGCCCGCGCGGATGCGGAGGGCAGAGCACAGGTGCCGTGACCCGAGCACGGCTCGGAGAGCGGGCCTGGGAAAACCTTTGTTCCCTTTCCTTCCCTAAGGACATACTCCTTGCCAGATGGCGGCCCAACTGAGAAAACAACGTTCACTCTGTCAGGACAGGCTGGGGCAAGGACAGAGGGCTGGAACTGGTGCTCCCAGGGAGCCCACTGCCCAGCAGAAGGGACAGTCTTCCAGACAGAAATGCAGAGCCACTTCACACAGGCAGGATGGGAGTGCCAGGGCGCAGATGTGACGACGGCTTGGGGTGAGAAGAGTCACCTCCTGTGTTGAAAGACAGGAGCAGCAGCGAGATGGAGGAGTCAGGGGAGGGCAGGGGAGTTTCTGCAAAGAAATCTAACAAGAAAAGGCTTGGAGGAAACACAAGAAAGCTCCCCGACAGTCAGGGAGTGCTAAGAAGCTGCTGGTGAAGGAACGTGGCAGGAGAGTCGAGGGTGGGCGCGCGGGGCTGTGGACGGCCTTCCGTGCCGTGTCACCAGGGTGGGCGTGACTCTTATACCTGGGTTCTCGGGCCTGGCTCCAGCGGGATCCAGGGGAGTCAAAAAAGCACAGAGACACCGGAACCCCCAACATTCAGAATCTAGTCTCCGGGGAGGAGCCAGGGTACCCTCTTCAAAAACAGTCTACAGGTGACTCGGGTAGCTGAGGAGAATGCCCGGGAAGGGAAGAGGATGGGAGGTGAGGACATCGGTCACACGAGGGCAGGGCACCAGGATAAAGTGGGGAGAGGGCGGGAGACACGACGTTAAGCCTCCAAGAAGCGCTCACTCACCCCACACAGGCCGAGGGAGAGGGAGGCATTTAGGCCAAGACCCATATTCTGCTGACAGCGACTGGGTGGATGCCGAAGCCCACAGGGTATGCAGGGGAGAGGCAAGCTTGGAGTGACAGTGGACAGGTGGACAGGGGGACCCGAAGCTCAGGACAGGCAAGGGGGCTGGAGCTGGAGACTGGGGAGCGGTGGGGGAGCGGAGTGGAGGCGCCCCAGCTGCGGGGTGAGGGGTGCGCGGGCACAGAAGGGCGGCACGGGCGGAGCCAGCGATGATGGGATGTGGCGTAAGCCTGGACGGGCGCTGCGCCCTGGCTCCCCAGTGAAACCTCTGGGAAGTGTAGAGGGACGCCAGGTGGAGGAGACAGAGGAGACCGTGGTCAGACTGACGCCTGGGAGCCTCCCGGGCAGGAGGCGGCGCTTCGGCAGCTTCACAGCTCCACGCACACCCCCCTGCGTGCCCTGGGTTCAGTACAAACACTGAAGGGGGACAAAGAGCCGAAGAGCCGCCCTCGGAGCAGCACCCCGCACCACACACAACCTGCGCAGAGGCCCTCCGTGTGGCGCAGAAAGACGTCGGACAAAGCTCAGGTCAAGCACCGAGCAGCGGTGATTTTCAGTCTAAACCCAAACCCCAGGGATGCGAATGCAGGCGCAGCCCCTGGAGTCGCCCAGGCGGGGAGAGCCCGGTCCCCAGAGGGCAAGGCCTGCCCTTCCTGCCTCTGCCCATCCCTGCCCTGCCTGACCTCTTGCCCCCACTGCTGAGATGCCTTTCTGTGGCTCCAGACACACACCTCTACTGCAGCGCTGTCTACACTCTGTCACACTGTTCCCATAGGAGACTGGGGGATTCGGCACCGGCTGGTGTCCGGAACCACCTGTAGGGCCGACAGAGCGCTCATACCAGCACGAGTAGACTTGGTGCCCGGGCCAAGCCAGCCTCTCTGGCTGCCAAGTCCCACGCTGCTTCCAGCAGAAGCTGTCCTGCCCCCAGGGCCTGCTCAACTTTTCTGAGCCGAGGTGGCCACTCCTGACTTCAAGAGGACACTGGCCCAAGGGTCAGCAGCTCCTGAGCCAGTCTGAGGCAAGGGGCAACAGTGCTAAGCCGACAGAGGTGCTCCCAGGGGGATGGGTCCAGCGGAGCGTGGAGGATAGAGAAGACAGTGGAGCAGAGAGGTGCCCAGAGGAGGGGGGCTCCAGCGGAGACGGGGGGAGCAGACGGACCCAGCTGCCTCCCGCTTTCCTTCTACCCCTACGTGGTGACCTCTCTTTTCCCTGTAGAGGCCTGAGTCTCGTGTTTGCAACCAAGAGGGCCCTAATGAATATGGGAAAGACGAGAAAGGGGGCTTTGGGTCCTCACTGCTCCTTCTGCCACACAAGACTGCCGTCAACTGTGGCCTGGGCCGAAGTGGCACACGGATGCATCTGTTTCTGTAACCAAACTAAATCTAATTTCTGGACTTGAAATGTAGAGAGGCTTGGTTAAGAGACAATTCTCTTAGTCTCCAACCTCTGTTTCTACATTTACTGGTTACCCACTTGCACGAATGCAGGAAGTATTAAAGGTTACCGGCGACCCTGAAGCCGACACTCTGGAAGGGGAACTCCAGAGAGACAGCTTCTGGAGCCCAAACCAGACCTCTTCCCACTCCCGCTTCTCAAGATGGCAGAAATAACTCAGGCCACCAAGGATACGCACAGCACGCGTGGTGGCTATAAGTCTGATGACTGAAATTACATCCAATACATAACCTGCTGATTTTGTTATGATAAATTGTTACCAAAATCAGTAAGCCACTCTGAGCTTGAGCCCAAAGAGAGATGTCAAAAGGAACAGAAGGAGAAAAAGATGGGAAGTCAGCATTACTTCCGAAGGCGCCCTCATTCCCCAGGCCCAGAGGGCGCAGCTGCCCGGACTGCGTGCAGGCCTAGGCTGGAGGCGGGGAGGACGCACTACCCTGGGTCAGACTCACTTCCCAAGGCACCGCCCTCCCGCAGCTCAGCTCCAGAGAGAGGAGGTAAGAAGAGGTGAATGAGAAGCTGCCCAGAACCTCAGTCGGCAAGGTCAGTGTGTGGCCCAGGTCAGAGTTCTGGTGCAGAGGGCATATTAGGAAGGGTGTGAATTCGTCTTAGGTGTGCAAGGCATAAACATTATTATTGATACTTTGCACAAAGAGGTGCTTAATGTCCTGGGTGGGGATCAGACCTAGCGCCCCCCTTCAGGAAACACCCTCCAGTGTGCATGACAGAGCACTCGTGACCTTCTAGAAAATACAGGCAAGGCTCTGCTGGTCTCTGGTTTGGGTTATTTCTGGAGGATTTAAGAAGGGTCCTCCAGGAACAGAACTTCCGAGCAGAAGAGG